TACTAATTTTACTATAGCCTTTTATAGGCTATAATTTAATTTACTTTATATATATCTTCTTTTTTTTCTTAATTAGTATTAGTTAAAGCTTTACTAGTAATCCTTAGAACTTCTTTAGCTAAGATAAAAAGAAAATATTATAAATCTTATATCTAGTACTTATATTTATCTTATAGGCTTTACCTTTATTAATTACTTACTTTACTATAAAGAGGCTAAGGTACTTATCTAATAGCTTCTTAGATAGTCTTCTCTACTTAATAAACTTAGCTAATAAAAGAACTTTCTCTTTAACCTTAAAATCTATATTAGACCTCTTAGCGTTATACTACTTCTTATAAGCCTAATTAACTACCTTTAATATCTTACTAATTATAGTTCTCTAGCTTTATAATTACTTTACCCTCTTGTAGGCCTTAGGGACCTTTATTAGTCTTACCTTTACTAAGTATATATTATATATACTCTATAGTATATAGCCTATTAGTGCCTTTACTAGTATAACCTTAGTTATACTATACTATAAACTATTATAAATAAATTTAGCTATAAGTAACTATTTTACTTAGTTATTTTACTTAATATTATAAAAGGCTTAAAGGTAGTATTTAATATTCTAGTTTTACTTCTCTATTTATTTATTAGTTTAAAGGTAATAGGCTATACTAAGCTTCTATTTAATAGCTAGCTAGTAATATACTACTACCTAAAAGTAACTTATAAATAAAGACCTATAATTTAACACTATTAAAGTTAGAAGTCTAAAATAAAAAAATACTTTATTTACTAAGAAGGTTACTAGCTAATCTACTATTAAGGTTTCCTTAGTAAGTAAGTAAATAGTATACTTTATAAGCTTATTAACTATAACTAAGATACTATTATATACTTTACTATTAAATCTTTTTAACTTTAGTAGCTTAGTAATAAAGTCTATAGTAACCTACTCTTATAGTTAGTTAAGTAGTAAAAAAAAGCTAGTTTCCTATAAAGTAAATAGTACCTTAGTTTTATATATTAGTAAGTAGTATATATATTAATATACTCTTTAATATTTTTTTTTATTAATTTCTAAAAAAACGTCTACCTTATATATTTTATTATTTAAGTTACCTCTAGGTGCCTCTCTAATAATTTATTATAAAACACTATAAGTAACCTTATCTTTATTATATATCCCTCTAGTACTATAAGCTTACCCTAGTATTAAAGTAACCTATTTTCCCCTTTAGCCTAGTAACTCCTTAGTTATTACTACTCTCTAGACTAAATCTACTTGTCCTCTAGTTATACTATAGTAACTTCTTCTTCTAAGGTAGTAGTAAGTTCCTCTAGGGCTACTATATTTTAACCTAGTAGTCTACTATATCTAATTACTACTACCCTCCTTTTAAACCTACTAAAGAAGTTCTTTAAGAATATACCTTATACTTTCTTTTTTTTTTTTTACTAGGCTAGTAGTCTAGTTTTTATAAAAGCCTATCTACTATATTATTTTTACTTAGGTAATATTTAATCTTAAAATTAAATAATAAAAGGTCTTATAGTAACCTAGCTTAGTAGCTATTAAGTTATAGCTTAGCTACTAAGTAGTAGTGCCCTAGGTAGTTTATTAAGAATATAATATAGTACTAGGTGTATAAAAGATAGTGCTTTTAATATATAGCTACTTTTTAAATTATAAGTAACTTAGCCTTTAGTGCTCTATAGTATAACTTTACTTTCTAAAGTTTTTATAATATATAAGCTATAGGGCACTAGGCTTTTTTATAAAGCTAGCTTAGTACTACCTTTATTATAAAGTTAAATATATTTATTTTAACTTAAATAAGTAATATAAAGTTAAAATACTATAAGATAAAGGCATAGGTAAATATAGTATAAATCTTATAAAAGGCTTTCTTAGCTTTTCTTATAATTACTTACTCTTTTACTACCTTAGTAAATAATTAGTTAATAAAAAGAAAATATACCTTAGAATAGTTCTTAATAAACTACCTATAAAAATTTATAAACCCTAGGAAGATCTATATCTCTTATATACTAGTAAGCAGTAGCTACTAGGTAATTACTTTTACTTTCTCTTGTTCTATTAAAATACTCTTATTAAATACTATAAAACCTAGGAAGCTAATAGACTTAGTATAAAAAAAGTACTTCTTAAAGTTAGTATATAGCCCTATAGTGTTTAACTAGCTTAGTATTATCTTTACTACCTCTATATAGCTCTCTTTATTCTCTATAAAGATTAAGATATTATCTAAATAAATAATATAGATAATATTTACTAGACCTACTAAGGTATTATTAATATAGGATTAGAATATTATAAGTATATTAACTAGCCTAAAAGGTATAACCTAATACTTATAGTGTCTATAGTAGGTATAAAAGCTATTTTTTATTTATTTTTACTATAAATCTTTACTTAGTAGTATATATCCTTAAGGTCTAGCTTTATAAATTATATTACTTTTACTAGATAGTCTAGGATTTCTTTTATTAAAAGTAGTAGTATTTAGTTCTTAATAGTAATTTTATTAAGCCTATAGTAGTTAATATAGAAGTAAAGCTTACCCTTTTTCTTAAGTATAAACAAGATTAGTGCCTTTACTAATAACTTTAAGGGCTATATTTAGCCCTTAGCTAAAGATTTATTAATATACTTCTTTAGCTTTTCTAGCTCCTTCTCTACTAGTAAGTAAATAAGGCTAAACAGTAGTACTATACCTAGTTCTAATTCTATTATATATATCTATATATTATCTTTTACTAGCTTTACTACTAGGTTTATATTAAATATATAGGCCTATTCTCTATATTCCCCTAGTATTATAGCCTTTATACTACTAGCCTTACTAGCCCTTTTGTCCTTCTTTAGTATATAAGTAAGTATCTTTAGTGCCTCCTTTAGTATTCTATACCCTAGGTATTAGATTATAAAGGGGTCTATAAAGACTACCTTAGTATTCTTTAGGGCTCTCTTAACTACTTTTTAGCCTTATATAAGTTAAATATAGTCTTTACTTAGTAAATAAGTCTAGTTAATTATTTTTTACTTAAGGTTAAGCTTTACTACTTACCTCTAAGGGATCCCTAGGATAGTATTATATTCTTTTATATTACTTACTTATAAAGTATAGCTTTATATTTTTAATATTCTAATATTATTTTTTACTTTTAATACTATCTTCTTTAAACTATAGTCTAAGGCTTTACTTTCTTATATACCCTATAGTAGTAGTCTTTTCTTATAGACTACTAGTAGCCTCCTTATATATAATATCTTTTAGTATATAAGGTTTTTATTTACCCTTAGGTTAATTAATACTCTCTTTTTCCTTTATATACTACTTATCTTAGTATAAAAGTCTACTTTAAATTAGTAGTATAGCCTTTTTTCTTAAGGTAATTAGATAATATTAACCTTTATTACCTTTATTATATACTATTTACTTAAGTATCTAGGCTAACTACACCTATAGTACTTTTCTTTAGTATAGCTAGCTAATAGATACCTTAGCTTACTATAGTTAAAGTAAGTTAAAAAGTACTATAGCCTAGTTAAAAGTAAGTAGTTACTTTTTTTCTTTTTTACCTTTAAGGCCTTTAGTATTAGCGTTAATATACCTTAGGTTATTATAAGCGTAGATATAAAGTATATAGACTAAGGCTTTATTATAAAGACCTTTATATTAGGACTTAGTAGTATAGCTAAAGCCTACTAGTCCTTTTACTCTTAATTCTACCTTTACTAGTCTACTAGTCTATCCTTAGTATAAGCTTTAGCTAGTGTTTTAGCCTATTATATAGTATTATTAAAGGCTTATTATATCTCTAGTATCCTTTAGGCTAATATATAGCTCTTTAGATTAAGTAGTAACTAGTTAAGTATATAGACTACTTATTACCTCTTAGCTTATAAGTTAAAGTACTTTACTTTAATAATCTTATACTTATTAATAAATTACTAATATAACTAGCTAACCTTTTATTTTATATTATTAAGCTTTACTACTATACTAAAGGCCTATATATTAGTATTAGTAATATTATTCTTTAACTAGGTCTTTATTACCTCTTAGGTTACTTCTTTTATTTAGCTATTATAGTAAGCTTTAATATACTTTTACTACTTATACACTAGGTTACCCTCTAGTATAAAGCTAGTGTACTATACTTTACTTTAGTTATCTTTAAATTCTTTTTTTATAACTTTAAATTATTTTTTTAGCTTAAATAAGAAGTCCTAAAGGTTATTTTATATACTTTTTTTATATTAGATTAAAGGTAACTACTTTAATAGTATATTAATATAGTAGTACTTATACTTTAGCTAAAAAGTAGTAGCTAGGCCTAGTATATTATATACCTCTTTAATAGAGGCCTTATTTATTAAAGCTAAAATCTAGTTAACTATCTTTTTTTTTTTAGCTTTTTTTACTTACTTCTCTAAAAAATACTTAAGCTTCTTTTTTATTATCTCTTTAAGGTTACTTTAAAGCTATTATTACACTAGTAGGCTTTTATTTTTTACCTACGCCTAGGTGTTACTACTGTCTAGGGTTAGTTACCTAGAGGTAACACTTATACTTTACTAGGCAGTAGCTTAAGTATTAAGAGGTAATATTATAGCTTTAATAATTAGTATACCTAGGGATAAGTAAAGATTAAAATATATTAAAGGTGTTATAGTACTAAGTAAAGGAGTCTATAAATAGTGTAGTTAAAGGTTAATTATAACTATTTTTTAATTTACTTTCTCCTAATTCTCCTGTTCCTATAAACTCTACTTTTATATAACCCTTAGATAATAGTTTTCCTAGTTACAGCCCCACAGCTAGTGGTCCCCTAGTGCCCCCCCCACCTCTGGCACCTGACAGTTGGCTGGCAAGTCGCGAATCAAGACCGGTGAAGAGCTACCTTCGGGGGAAACCCCACACCATGACTGACCAGTGTAAAATTTCGGCCGCAACTTTTCTCTCCGATAGGTTGTCCAGCTTCAGTTTCCGCGGGTTATTATTAGGCATGTCGGGTAAATACAAAAACATTTGGCTTCATGGGTTGGCGTCAGCCCAATGCGTCAGGTCAATATCCAAGAATTTGGGTAAATTATCGACTGGAAGGGGCAACGGTAATCAATTGTGGCGGGCCATAATCGCTCGCCACTGCAAACTATCACTCAGTAGCCTTGGTTTGCGCCGATCGTCGGGTTCCATGAGTTTTCATCGGCGCGTGTCACGGAATGTTGATACCTAACCTTGGCTTTCTATTGCTGCTCCAAAACAAAATTGACTGATGGACGTCGAGGACAAGGTTACACAGTATTATGTCCCGCGAACTGGTGTCAGTTTCTCATGGGCCCTATGCTCTACACAAGGAACATCTCCCATTGTCACTTGCTTAGCCACGATGGGGTTGATTCTCTTCAACATATTTCAAAAAGTCTCATAACGGCTCCGTCGACGACGAACAGTGTCAAAGGTTTGTCATGAAAGTCGTCAACGGGATCCAAAGACTTTGGTTATGCCAGTCTCTTCTCGACACTGTCCACAACCGTCCTTCGGGCTATCCACCTTCCAACAGTTCTGCAAAATAAAGTCAAGTATGATTTCCATCAAACATTCGTCGCCTCTGCTAGAGTTCAATCCGTAGAATCCTTGACTCAGTCTTCGTCAGACTAGATGGTCTTAGGGAAAAAACCCGATTGCTTACCGCTTGTTCCGACCATGGAATATGCTGGATAGCTATGACAGATACCGAGGACGTCTCCGCGTCGTCTTGGTTCCGACTCGAGTTGATGTGACGGCCACAAGACGGCCGCCATTGGCTGAAGAGGTAACACAGACTTACACATACCAATCGGTAATCCGCCAATCTTTTCTCAGAGCCTGCATTCTTATCAAACAGTACCTTTGTTAAACTTTCGACGGCTCGAGGGAATCAAATCCGAGACTCCGAGCCCCGGTCAACAGCTTGACTCTCTCCGACTCCCCATTGGCTATGGGTCAGGGGGGGTTGGGTATCACCGACCAGGCTCTGATTACCCATTGGTATTCCGTACTGTCCTGCAAGTCATCCGTGATGTAGGCTCGAGGGTGTCAACCACCACGCAACCACTCGCCAACTCCCGAACCGTTGCATCCCGCGCAAAGAGCTACATGCTTTGCAATCCACATCAACAATGACGACGTTCATGCATCAACTTGCAGAGAGATCTGGGGGTCAGCTACCTTGTTTCTCACCAGATAAGAATCTTGCATTCCGCACTGGCTGACCTCGCTGGTACTTCCATCAAACCGCCAGCGAGATCATCTCCACCATATTATTCGCTGAGTTGTAACGGCTCAAGGACATGCATAGCCGAGAAGGAAGACAGACACCTCATCGTCACAGAACATACGCTCGGCTCTTGAAATCACCCTCGTCGGACGTACGGAGGAGTGGGCATCATGCAGTCATTCTTCACCGAAAAGAACGTGGCCACATGCGATCCAAACGACATGTGACTACTTGATCCGGGGCTCTGTTGTCATCGGAGAAGTAGAGAGAGACCGCAGCCTTTCCAAATTCTCCGGCCATCCTCGCAGACGTATAGCATTTGCAAGACATCACCAATGAGGGATGGGTTGCGCTGAGATAGGCTGCGAACAAGTGACCACTCCGTTCATGCTGAGTACCGCGAGGATGGCAACGTCCGTATGGCTGAGGTCTTGCTATGACGATGAACCAAATAAGAACCCTTGGTTAGGCTTGTGGTGGCATCCTCCAGGCCCTCTTTTTCTTGCGGTGACTGCATAATACCCGAAGGCTCTCCATCTCTGTCATTTTTGACGAGATCGCTCCAATCCTGCGCAATAGTCGCTATTGCTTGCTACCTTCAATCAGCCCTAGGGCCCAAACCCACACCAAGCACTTGAGCCGTGGTTCGCGACAACACGAATGTATTCGATTCATTCTAGTGTAACTGCAAAATAAGTCCCCCAGACAGAACCACGGCTGACGAGATTGAATCTAGCGGAGCAGTGGCCATAAGCACTCGAGGAAGATCGAGAAGAGGGATAAGGATACTAAGTCTAAGGATGCGAACAGTAAGCAGGAAAGAGCCTTGCCGAGCTCCTCCTTCAGCTTTCTCTTCGTCGTAAACGAACTCAAGGTCGTTGAGGAGAACGGAGTGCCCCCTGCCGCTGACCTATACGGTAACCCCCTGCCACCGAGAACTTCCCGGGGCTACGGCCCGGAAATCGTTGGCAGGGTATGGCGATACCGCGACGGCGTTGTCAGCCTCGCCGAGGGCTTTTTCTGGTGCCGCCCGGAGCCTGGATCCGCTGGGGCGATATGTACCGTGAATAACTATATTGACGAACACGGGCAGCCGTTCCGATTCCTGGAACAGACAGTGGAACACAGCACATTTAGCGTCTTCAACTGCTGGCGCTTCCTGCCCTGTCTTCATGCCGACGTCGACGTAACCACCGTTGGCAGCATGGGGGTCGACAACAAGCTGTCTCACCTGGAGTTCTATCAAGACCATACAGACTCTGGCGTAACTCGGATTCGAGCCTCTGGCGGGTCTCAAAGACACGTCGTTGGAGGCAGGCCGTCTTGGATACCGGCTCTCCTCCCCGAAACCTACGCAGCGCCAAGCTCTCACGCTCAACAATCCACAGGCCTCGGCGGCTGCCTACCCATCATCATCGGTCTTCTCGCCCTGACCAAGAAGCCAGGGCATACGGACGACGTCTTCAGGAACGGCGAGTGGAACGGAAACCGTTTCAGGGGCGGCCGCTCCTCGCGCGCTGGTGAGCTTGCACTGAGGTGTGTGGCACGACTAGGATTGAACTGACCGCCACGAGTCCCACAGAGCCTGAGCCCACCGGGCCGGTGCGAGGAGTCTTGGTCCAGGTATGCTGTGACAGCACAAACCCAGACTCTACAATCGATGCAATCACGGACTTTGAAGACCGCGGCAAGGCGATCAGGGATGAGCGTCTCTGACGGCGGCAGTGCGTCCCGACCATCTCCTACGTTTCTTCTTGTTGTTTGTCTGCTATACTCTAGGTAGTGATCGACGTTGGTATTGGATGTCCGGTGAAATTAAGAAAGGTATGGCTTACCGCCGACGGATGGCAGATATCCCTATTCGACTACGAGAGCATGTCTCCGCAGGCGGAGGGAAACCGGCACTCTTTGAAACAGTGTAGCTCAGGGCGTTTTGTTTGCGTGTATGTGTTTGATATATTCAGCTTTCCATCATTCCGCCGACCCTCTCTTGATCTACCCGACTCCGGGCCATAATTTCGCCAGATTCCTTAAGTGATTAACCCTGAGCCTCGCGTGTCTATCGCTACCTTAGGTGTGGACTGAAGACATGGGTAATCTCGATTCGTTTTGCCTTCTTTCGCTCGATAAAATAAGTATGGGATCGCTCAGCTCCGACCCCCCTTCCGGTCTCATTTCACGCTACAACTATGCGAGTGCCCGGCTCATACCGCATCGGGCAATCTTACAGCTATGTCTCCCGACTGGGTGATGTATCTGACCCAAGGCAATGAGGGATATTGCAGCTGTTACATGTCAGTAGGGTATTTTCGCTTCAGGCTCCATGGTGAGAAACCTACCTTGGGCTCTGTAATCTTGAGGTACCGGACTTGAATGCCACTCGTAGTGAAATAGGGGATCTCAAACTTGACCTGGATCGGCCTCTTGGCACCCTTGCCCGGCGCGCCGACACCGCCCATACTACCGCCGAAGCCACCAGTCATACCGCCGCCGTGCTCGTCATCGCCCCGTACCGAAGGGAGACCCAGCTCCGCTCTCATCATAAACTCCTTGTTGCCTCCAAACTGCTTGATCTTCCACACAATGGCGCTCTGCTCAGGGGCGTAGTGTACGGCGCCGATGTTGGTGCGGAAGCGCGGGGTGTCGGCATCGTCAGGGACCGGCACGATGATCTCGACGTTATTGGCCGTACTCCTCCGCTTGAACTGGGCCTTGGCCTTGAGCATGTACTCGATGCGCGAGCCACTGTGGCTTTCAACGACGCACTCGACCCAGATAAGTGGCTTGACCTGGGTATTCAGGCGGTAGCTCATGAGCTCGAATTCGCCGTCGGGAGGGATGAAGGAGATAGTGCGGTCGTTCTCGAAGCGCGACAGGCGCACACACTGGTGGAACTTGACGTCCTCCATCTCGATGGCCTTGCCGCGTGTGGTACGGCCTGTCGTCTCGAACATGACCTTGTCATTGAGGCCGAGGCGCAACTCGGGCATTCCGCTAAGATAGCACTTCATCTTGATGGCACCAAGAATCTCACTGCGCAGAACGTTGCCGTTGGCGCTGACGAGAAGGTTAAGGCTCTCAACGACGTCGAGGAAGACCTCGTTCTTGCGGTATCGAATGCCCTCAGAACGCCATGAGACGGCATTGGTGACTGCGATGGGCGGGCGGGCCTGGATCTCCAGCTTGTGGGACTCCTGGGTGATATATTCTTGAAGGATCTTGGACTCGGTTGTCTGGGGGTAGCCGAAATCCATCATCTCGTCGAGGAGCTCGTAAATGATGACGAAGTTGTCGCGAATGGACTCCTCCTCGAGAGCCTTGAAGTATTCTGTGAAGACTTCGACAATCTTGTGGAGGAAAAGGAGGATCTCGGCGGCGTTGGTGTTTCGTTTTGTCAGGGCAAGGAGATAGAGGTTGTTGTGTCGGATGTAGAGGTACTGGAGGTGCGTTGTGTCAGTTGTGCACTGGTACGGCAAGCGCAAGCCTCCCATTTCTATACGTACGTTGATGCCTTCATGGGAGAAACACGGAGGGACAGCCGACGATTCCTCCTCTGCTTCGCTGAGGAGGATTGGGAACTTTTCGACGGCTGACATTGGGATGTCTCCGCGGTAGTTACGGGCAAGAAGGGTCTGTCATGGGGAATAATCAGCATCCTTCAGTTTGAGGGCAAGAAACCAAGATTTGCGATGCGCACCTTGCCCTTCAAGTCGAGGAAGAAGATGGCGGACGCCATGGTGGACGCGGGTTGCCAAGGCGGGGACCGAGGGGCAGACGAGGAGAGGCGGTCGACGCGAGATCAATTGGCACGCTGGCCACAGGGTTCACAGCAGGAAGAAATATTGTATCATGCAATGCGTGAGTCCAGGCAGCTTGCGAGGGTGTCAAATGATCAAAGAAGGCGTTTATGAAGCTGTGTCATTAGTTCGCGGTTCGTATGCAAGTTGTTTTGCATCGCGCTGTAGCTGGGCAATATTGAAACCACGATGTCTCTTTGGAGTTGGAAGAGCACGGGCCACACGACAATGACAGCCTTACGTCTTGGGAAGCTGCTAGGGGCACGGAGAGTGCCGTCGAGCCAAGTCTGATTAGTACCACTGCAGGTCTTAGCTAATCAACCCATGCGATATCACTCATTACATAAGTCGGGATTGATAGCGGCTCGAGCTGGCGGTAAGTCACATGACCAACACCCTCGCTGGTGGGGCTCGAAATGAGCTTACATCGCGCCGAAATTTTCACGATCTGTTCCGAATTTCTTCTCTCCCTCACCACCGCGTCCTTTTAGACAGTGCAGCGCATTATTACAACCACGTTTGGACCGGCATTCTGTTGGATCCATTTGTGTCGTCGTTGATGTGAATTGCGATTTCGCGACGCGCAGAGGAAACCTTCCGGTTCCATAAGAGCTGCCCAAGTACTGCTCTTCGCCCTCGGGTGAAGGGCGCCATTGCCAGGGCGGCGTCAGAGGTGCCATACATACTTACTATCGACTTTGCCATGTTTTTGAGATGATGAAAATAAAGAATTCGATCCAAGGAGTCTAGAAACTGGCCCCGATAGGCCATTCCGACATCCCAAGGTCTGAGGTGTTCATTAGAGAGCTTCCATGCATGGAACATAGCATGCTATCTTTGCTGGGAGCGAATGACCGAGGCTCGTGACAGTACCGCTCAACGTTTTTGACGAATGGACCACGCTTGATTGAGGCTACTGCGTAAGGCCGGGCTTTTCTTTTACTTGGAGAACCTCATACAATGTCCTCCTGACAGCCCTTGATGACAGGGAAGGGCTGTGATGCACAACGCCCGGCCCGTTGACAGATCCAGATCAGATCTCGTGAGGACACGAGCGCCTCTCGTGGGTTTTGTTGAGTTGACCTCACGTGCCGCGTGAGGTGGGTATTGTTGACAAGTACTGTCTACACACCAGTCCCTAGGCTATGCCGAGGCCACACAAGCACATCTAAAAGTGGAATTGGTGAATAATACCAGCGGTTTGCTTGTGCCTGGAAACACGATCCACTTGCCCGGGTCTGAGATGTCATCACATGGCATACATTTGTGGCAAATAGCTAGTCAGGATTGGCGGGTGCCAGATGCGTTTGAGTCGTGCTGGGCGGCATTAGAAGAAGGGGGCCTTGCAAGGCGAGGGGGCAGTTGGGTGGTTCCCCAAACGCAGCCTCCGATAACCGGGTAAGCCTTTGCAAACTTTACGAGGGTAGAAACAATCAATAAAATCAATAAATAGATGGAAATATGCCAAGGCACGGCGCTTGTAGATAGTGAGTGGTAGGGCTGTATTGCATTTGCTTGTGATATGGGGCTCGGACTAGACGGCGTGGTCAATGAGACGGAAAAAAAACCAAAAAAAAACCCAACTTGGGGTTTTCATAGAGGATGGCGTCAGAGGAGAGAAAGTTGTCATGGTCAGCTGGCCCTTCCTAGAATGCCCCAGCTTTTTCTCCGAAATGGCGAGCAAGCAGAAACATTTCGCACGTGATTGCGACTGGAGATCCACATCAAACCGAGCAGGTATTAACGCTCCTTTTGAAGTGACGCCGAACAGGCAAACATGTGACCCGGCAACGAGTCTCAACGTTGACTTGGGAACCCCGTCGTCAATGAATGGATGCTCCATTATTTGCTCCTTCTCCCTCTTCGTTTTCACATGGAAGAGGGTCTGTGCTTGGTGTGACGTACAGACAGGAAAAGGATGGGCCAATGGGGTTCGATATGGTATGGACTCGTATGCTGACTTGGCACCGAATACTCAGCAAGATGACTTGTGATGGGGTTTTGGCTGTTAGGTGGCAGTATGTGGCACACACTCCAACTGGTAGCAAGTGAGACTCCGCACATGTTAAGTTGCTTGTTCGTCCCGTCAGTCCAGTCCATGCATGTGATGACGGGCCCTCCCCCAAGAAAGTTTAACACGTGCTTCCCCAACTTTTGGCTCTGATTGTCCTAATCCGCTCCTCGACCTGGGAGTCCCTCCCTTCATCCCCCGTTACAACCGGGGGCTTCCCTCCAACGCGTGTACCGATACTTTACCCTCCAACTGTTGGCTGGAAGAGTAGCGAGTGTGCAGGAGAAGGATTTTCCTTCGTAAACGATCAGCATTATTGTTAAGCATCTTTGGCAGCCTAGCGGGATTTAGCCAGTTTCGCATCCAAGCGAAGAACCAGAATAAATGATTTGATTGATGCGATAGGTGGGGCAGAGATGCGGTCTGTCTGCGGCACGGAGGGGAACGCGAGACAATACTGAAGACTTTCAACCGGATTCATTCACTGGTGTCGGCCTCGATATCGGCTTAGCTTCATCCTAAAGTGTTTTCTGTAATCAACCGTCCTTTTTTCCCCTTCTCTTTGCTTTCCTTCTGAACATCACCTATTCCTCCCCTTTCCCCGGTTTCGCTTAGGCCACGGAGGATTTCACCTCACCAAGGTACGCACAAACACCTACCATGGTCAGGCACCTTGTCAACAAAAATTTTGGGCGTGTCTCTTGTCTCGAGTTTGCAGCATCCGGTACGGAACATTGCCTCGGACCCTGTAGCCTCACAGCCATGCGACCATGCACCTGGTGTCTCCTGACCTGTCCCGAACGGGGAGCGTGGATATCATTTGGCTGTTGATTGGACCCCCCCCCCCACCCCTTTGCCGTTACACACCTACAAGGTGTGTACGGATATCTAACACATTTTTTTAAACCAGGGTTTTGAGGTCCTGATCCAACTGGGGGATGTGCAGCTCGAGAGGACACGGAGGACACGGATTGCAGACTGAATGCATTGACTAAATGGCTGGGCAGCGTGTCACAGGGGATGTGGCGGGCGGGCTCACTCGTAGAGGTTCAAATGGGGTCGGATATCCATCTGCTTCGTTCCAAGTCGGCGTGCAGACAGTCGAGCGCATTGCGCTTCTGGAAGAAATTTTCCTCTGGCAAGCAACCCCCACGGACGGTTCAAGCAAGCAAACAAGCAAGCAAGGGAAGCTGCTGGGAAGATGGGATGGATACAAGACACACACATTCTCGGCTTCACATGGTCGGCCGGTGGGGAGAGGGTTGAGATAGGGAAACTCGCCGTAGTGGTCCCCCTACCCGCGCAAGCTCTTCCACCTTTCCGCCTCAGCTGTCAACGTTGATAGTACCTTGGCTACGTCGATCAGTATACAAGACGGACGCTTTGCTGCAAACTCTGCACATCCTGACCCTACATAGTATGCGCCTGCCTGCCTGCCTACCTACGTAGGTAGGTACGAATAGGTATCCGTACTTCTTCGTACAGTGGTCGACGTCTCTATCTTCCTACGCGATTGCCTAAACAGCTATCCGTACATCGTAGGTATCTTACCTTTCTGTCCCAGTGACCCTCAGTAAAACAAACGTCCAGCTTGGTCGAGTCCAGGTCCTTTGTGAATGGGTGGGCACCTTACCCCCTTCCCCATTCAGTCAAGGGTACCGGTTATGGGGCAAAGTATGTACCTCCCCGACCAGATTTGTGTGGCCACGCGCGTACATCAGTGGCCTGTAGATACATACAATGTACATCCATCCACAACCAGGGTGGTCCCTTTCCCCTCCTCCCAGGCAGTCAGCTCGCTCGAAAGTCTGCCTTGGCTTGACGTGTGATAGGATAGGTCTACCTACGATGTACAGTACTACACTACTATTAGCCTGCCACATGCGCCAGTGTTGTTGCCGCCGCCCCGGTGCGCTATCGTTGGAAGGTTGGCGTTGGCTTCTCCTTCCGCCTCTCTTTCGGATTTCGGATTTCGCTTCATTACTCGCATTCTCTCATCCCTCACCTTCCTCCTCCTCCTCATCCTCCTCATCCTCCTCCGCACTCTCCCCGATTGCTTGCATTGCACATCCGAGAGTTTATCATTGCCCGCTTGCTGAGTTCGGCTGTCATCATCATCATCAACGACCACTACTGCTATCATTAACACCAACAACATCTCATTCTCCGCCAGCCATTCATTTCATCGCATTGACATTGCATTATCCCCAAACAGCCAGCAACAATATCTTGCTACATTTCTCTTTATCCGTGTCTCCCAACCCCTGTGGTACCTACCTAGCTTCCCGCCCGCCACGCGCACGTACGCACGCATCCAATTAATATTTCCTACGCCATCCCTCCTCTCGCCGTCCTACGCTCCCAATTCATTACCATAAACCTATCTACGTATACACACACACACACACACACACACAAACACCACGGCCCACCTCCCTGCGCTACGTTGCGCTACACTGCGCTACTCTGATCAGAAGACGGACGGACTAAGTCCACCACACGGTCCACACCAGCATCGTACCGGTCCATCCCTCGCTCACTCGCCGACGCCATCCCCATCCCCATCCCACTCGGCAATACCCCGAAAATCCTCCAGCGCTGTTACTTGTCGCCCTCTTCGCCTCGCCCTCCCTTGTTCGTTGCGCTGGGTTGTGTGTGTCTGTTGGAATCCACTCCATCGTGTCCATTTTCCTTCGCCACTTTAGCCCAAACCGTAATACATGAACCTGAAGTCCGCCGCCCGCAGCCACTCTCATCCTTTCGTCTGCCCCCCTTCGACGCCATCGTCCTGACCCGCGCATCTGCTGCACGTCGCAAAATTCTCAACATTCCCCCAACCTCGACCGGTCCTTGGGGGGGAGAAAAGATACGCAATCCAAACTCGCAATCCAAACGGTGCCGGGGCGAGTGGCATTTCCACCCATGCCAGTCCAAAGTTGACCGCTGAGACATCCGTGCCGGTCTCGCTCTCTCCCTACCTCTCTCTGCTCGTCATCTCCTCCTGCCGAGCACCTCCCCGCGACTTATTTTCGACCCGCCGTCCGAATATACTTTGCGAAATGGATTTGAGCCAGAGCATGAGCCAGAGCCAAAATCACATGCTGCACGGGCCTGCGCCTCGAGACCGCCAGCTGCCGCCATCTTCCTCGTCCGCCGCCCACTCCCAAACCCACCACCACCACCACCACAACAACAACAACATCCGCCCACTCCCTCCCGCCTCTGCTGCTGCTTCATCTGCCGCTACTACGACTATTTCGGCATCGGCGTCCACTACCATATCCTCCTCCCCCTCCATACCCACCAAGCACGTCCTCTCCCACGCTCGCTTTGATCCGACACACATCCCGTCCCAGCTGCCTTCGTATGCTCCCCCAAGCTATGCGCATGCCCAATCCCACGATCCCAACCGACTGAGCTTTTCCGACGCCCCAATTACCGAGCTTGCACCCATCCTTCCTGCCGCTAAACACAATGATAACGGAGGTCACAACCTTCCATCTCTTTCTTCTGTGACTGGTCCTCCACCCTCCCGGTTCGCTCCCATCACTGCTTCGCACTCCATCGAACAACAGTCAACGTCGCTGTCTCAACAACACCAGCAAGGGTCACAACCGCAACCGCCTTCCCTCACACGATCTGCGACGACCACAGTACCTCTTACGCATTGGCCGAGCCTCAACCCCCTCACCACGTTCTACACCCCCAGTCATGCCCAGTCCGCCGACTCTCCTGCGAGAATGGACCTCGACGTAAGCAGTAATAGCGTCATGAACGCAGCATCGCCCGACCGATTTTACGAAGGACGAGCCGCCAGCGTCAGTCTGGATGACCCCGATGTCCGCATGGCCGCCGAGGCCCTCGGGGACCTGCGAGCCGGTATGTTTTGTTCTTGCGCCCGTGAGTTGAGTCCCAGTTCACTGACTGCCTGCAACAGACTTCATCAACTCCCCCCCGGCCCGCCACACCTCCTTGCCGAGGGCATCTCCCACGGTGCCCATGACCTCGAACCCGTCCAAGTCCGAGGAGCCTCTCTTTTCTCTTCTCACCACCTCTCATCCCTTGTTGGCGACCACGATTGAAGGAGCCACATCGGCTTACAACAATTCCAAGAACTTTTCACCACGTTTCAAGTCAAGTGCCGAGTATGTCGAAGGGTACTTGACCCCAATCGCCAATACTGTCGGTACCGTTGGACGCAAGACCGGTGTCGAGGGCGGCGTTCGCTGGTTTTTAGGTGCCGGGCGACGACACCAGTCTACCGACCTGGAGGCTGCCGATGGAGGGTCCCACAAGAGGCGCAAGGTCGATACCGGTGAAGACTTGGCTAGACTTATGATCGACGCGCAGAGCAACGTCATGCCCGATGTCGATTCTCCCCGTGACCCCTACGTCTTCAAGCACGACCGCCGATTGTCGAGGGCAAGCACCATTGACACTCTGCCTGCATATGACGATTATCGCTCACCGGCCTACACCGAAAACGAAAAGTCCGAGAGGCCCACTGCTTCCAACGCCGCTTGGCAGTCTCGCCTGATCATGTCAACCTCTGGCCTAAGCGTTGCCATGAGCGAGGAGAGCCTGAGGAGTCTGAAGTATTGTCTAAGATGGTTGCGTTGGGCTAACGAGCACATTGGTGGAGTCATCAACAACCTCAAGTCCACTCTCGAACAGTATGAGAAAACCGGCCAATCTCAGCAAGAGGAACAACCCGACATGAACCACGACGGTGACCACATGATGGTCGATAGCCCGCCCGAGTCCATGTCTGAGCAGGATCGCACCATGTTGGCGGCCAGGATCGCGTCCCTCAAGGGTGATGTTCTCAAGACTCTGCGGGACGTTATTGAGACCGTTTCCAAGTACGCCGGTGGTGCCTTGCCCGACAATGCCCGCACTCTGGTCCGCCGTCACTTGACTACCCTGCCGCAACGCTTCCGCTACGCCAGCATGGTCGAGCAACAGCAGGGCGAGAAGACCGGCGAACAGGCCCGCGAAGAAGCCATGCGGGAAGGCGCCCATCGCGTCCTCGTGCTTGCCAAGGAAGGTCTTGACATGATGTCGCAAGTCAGTGGTGTTCTCGATGGCACCATTGTCAGTGCCGAAGAATGGTGCGAGAGACTTGGCAAGAAGAAGCGGGATCAGCGCGAGGAGGTCGCCTCTCAATCACAATCGCAAGAGCGTGATGTCAAGATTGCCCTGGCCTAAACGAGCAACGATTTCTTTCTCTATCCATACAAAGGTCCAAATGGCACGGAGGCCGATTCCCATTTTCTCCCTCTTTTTCTCTCCCTCAAAACTACCAAGTCGGTGATTTGAATGGCGCAGGAACGGCACACGGAAAAATCAAAAACAAGAGAAAAACACCCTAACGCATCGCGCTGTCACGCAGACGTAAGAATTTCATCAATGATACCAAACAGAGGACGCCCTCATTCCCACCTACTTCGTTTCCAGTATACCATATCATGCCATCCTACAAACAAACAACAATCTCGAACATTTTCCTCGTTTTTTGTCAAGTACGCTTCTGCTTCTGATTCATCTTCCTTGGCAGTTCTTCTTTGTTGTTAAGTGCTTGCTTATTGTTTTCCTGTCTTACAGTTTTAATGGACGGCTTGCAGAGTACGCTGGCATCCCTACGACAGGCGAGTTCCAGGGAGCTCGTGACTCACTGTGTATAGAGCTCACGCATCATCTTTGTACAAAGTAAAGCTGATCTATGTTTCAACCAATTGAACACTTGCCACTGCTCTAGTCTGTGCTGTCTCGCTATCGCTAGTGACAAACATAGGTATAGCCCCTGGTACCCCCCCGCAGGGCTTCGATACCGGAAGCTGTTTTTAGACTACTCGGTTTTTTGTTCTGGCAATGATGATGACTTAGTCCCCGTTTGGGCTGTCTGTTGCCGTCGGAGTTCGTTCCTTCTTTACAGGTCAAACCTCGTCTGATCATGTTCATAGCACGCGGATTTGTGCCATGTGCAACCCCAACCACGGGGTCCATCCCCAGACAAGCGAATCGCTGGCCGAAAATAACGAAAACGTGCTGTGTGGGGAACCCTTTCATGACACGGGGATCCCCAAGACTCCACTAACAAGATGGTTCAACGCTGGGCGGGGAGGACAGGGAAGATTCCGGGGAAAGACATTGGGGCTCCTAGCAAGCAATCGATGGACACTTCCGCCGCGTCAAAGCGTTCTCACCGGCAGGGCAGGGCAGGCAGCTTTCGTCTACGTTTGCCCTGTTACTTTTTCTTACATACTTGCTCGTTTGGTCGTCGAAACTATCTGGCTTGCATGGTTCAATCGCGCTGCTCGTTTACTGTGCTACCGTGCGGCGGAATGAGACTGTACAGCCGCACAACATTCTCCTGGCCCACCCAAACGTCCAAAACGCTCCAAAGATCTAGGGCCGGAGAGCGAGTTTCGCGCTTGCAGCAGACGGTATCATCAGATGAATGCGGGGGCTCGGCAGTGCACATGTTAAGTTAATCTCGGCCAGGGCGGTGGACCTGGGTTCTTACGATGGAGCAGTCCGGTGGCGATCTCCAGGATGGTTCCAGCACATGCCCGCCGCAGCGACCGACTGGCCGAGTTTCTGGGTCGCGGGCAAGGTGGGATTGGAACGCATGGTCTGTACCTTTTCTTGTCCCCCTCGTCCCTAAAATTTAGCATTTGCGTCTAACTCGTACGTTACCTTCAGCTCGCATAAGCATTCACCGAGGGAACGATTGCGCTTCACCTCGCAGCATGTGAAACTGACACATTTCATAGAATCAGGGACTGGCTAGGAATAAGTGCCAACCTTTTTCAAGTTGTACAATTACGTCTACGGGGGTTGCCTTTTGCCGTTCGTGAAAGGGCGAGCCGGCGATCTGCTTCCCGCGGGGGAGGAGTCTCGTTGCCTCCAAGACCTTGAGATGATTGGCGTCGGCCTACCGTTTCACGATTACCAGTTCTACACGAAAAACATGGGGATCAAATAGGACGCTGGATGCCATCCCTGTGCGCGTTACTAACTCGGGACAGGGGTAGCCGTCGGACCATGCCCACGGGTACGACTGGTACTGAGTGGTGAGTAAATTTAGCTGTAAAATGCCAGCTGTATATATACTGAATATGCTGGCATCTTTCTTTATATGAGGGTTTGAATCTGTACTCAGTAGGGAGAAAAGGGCACTCACACGTACGAGTGAGTGCATGTCTCTAGCTTACATAAAACATCTGCCAATGTTAAGAGGGATAGCAGTCGCTATGAGATATGTTTGGTCATGCAGTCCGTTTCCTGCACCGTTAAACTTGTTCTGAAGGAAGTAGATCTTGTAGTATTGGTGGTAGAGCAGCACCATGCTATTTATTGACCCCTAATATTCAAGTCATCCTCAAAATGACACAGCATATCTCTTTGTCAAAAGAGCAAGATTCAACGTTGCATACGACAAAGGCGGCGGCATATGCTTGCATTTCATCGTTACTATGTTTCCCTAATTCGAATCTGATACATCTGGTTCCTACAAGCGATCTAAAACTGTGCCTGTTATATAAATGGCCCTTAATGTTTCACCTCTTGTCATTCCTCTCTAGGACTGCGCAACTGAGACGTAGAACCTTCAACGCCTCAACGCCATCCAGCCTTCGAATCGATTCTTGGATCGCGGTGTGAGCAGCCGCCTCGCGACACGCCGTGTTCGCCTCAACGCTGTTCCACCCAACGAAAGCTGAAAAGACCGACCCGATCTTTCCTCCGCCTATTCCGTACACGGGAAAGTCATTCTCTACCCCCCACCCGTAGCTGATTGCGGTGACGTCGGCGTGCTGACCGAAACCCTTGTTCAGAATCTCACGAAGCTCAGTCGTGACCTTGTCATCTGAAGAGATGTCCGAAGGGCAGTACACGAGAAACACATCAGTCACGCCAGACTTCAGTGCTTCCTGGAGAGACGGCGTGGCGGTGATGTGCTTGGTGTATTCGCCGTGGGTCAAGACCTTTCCAAAGTCCTCCTGGACGTCTCCGCCAACTCTGTCATTCTTAGCTGAGAATGGTGGGTCGTTTGAAGGTACCGGCTTGTATTTCTTTTTGGCTGACTCACGTTTTGGCAAACTTCTCGTGTTGTTCGAGAGAGTCCCAGTCGAAGAAGCTGTACACCTTGGACGGCTCGTCGAGATCCACACTCAGATAAATCCGGTGAGGGCCTCCTGGCGCAGCATTCAACTTCCTGTAGATTCCCATGTAAATCTTCCCCTCTGGTGTCGATTCGTCCATGATGTTCAGGCCGGGCTTAATGCCACAGCAGCCTATTTCGGTCACGGACATTGCTGAGTGGATAGGCTTGGTTTGCAGGATTGGCCGACGAGATTAGAACAGGCAAGTTGTCGAAACTTGGTAGTTAATATCACTGAGCTTATGAATTGGTCGAGGAAAAAGTCTCAATGTTGTGTTGAACGGGCATTTGTCGTTTTGATAATTGATCGGTGCCTAGATCGACTCGTAAGCACTCACAGACCACTGCTATCATCACACGGATAAGATGTAGATCTTGTTTTGGGCGGATGCCTATAGCTTTTTTCCTCTTCTATTCTATTTCTAATGGATTAAAAAATTCCATACGTGATCAATTTGATTAATCTAGGCCGCGATTTAAGCGTGGGAGAGCTGCTTATCTTCGATGGCTCCCGGTGACGTAGCATGCTTACGATTATCTCCATGACATTGTGTTTGTGAAAAGAAACAAGGCAAGAAAATCGACTAAGAAACCAGGTTTTCAGTTTTGTATTGGACAAGCAACATGCACCACACGTCTGCAACGCCGCTGTTAAAGTTGTCAGGTTGATTAACTTACACGGTTGAACTCGACGTCTTGACCACTGCCTGTCTGTATTACATCATTGTCTATTTGACTGTAATACACTATCGCATATATGTCAATATGTTTGGTAGCCATTGAGATACCCTTCCCCTTTTCATATATATAGACCACAAAAAACGTGAAGGTCATGCATGCCGTCTATACGTTACGAATATTTCGAAAGATATTGCACGCGCAAGCATGGCTCGTCTTTTGAGCAGTCCATCTATCTCTCCAGTAGTTTTAGTTCAGTAATTATGATATCCGCCGCTTTCTCTCCTAATAGCAGCGCTGCGTTATAGGTATTAGCAGCTACTTGGCGAGGGGGCACACTCAAGTCCGCAATCTTGAGCCCAGATACTCCATGGACATTGAGGTTGAGATCAACTGCAATGCTGTGCATTAGCGAGATGAATCTAGTTTTGAGATCCAAGGCAACGACGTACCAACACCGTTCTCCTCCCGTGGCGCCATCTTGCATGTCCCCAGCGGATGCCTCGAGGTTCCTATATTCTCACGTATATACTGCACGATGGCAGCGTCGTCGTCGGCCGAGTACTCTATGGCGTCGGTAACTGGTCCCTCTGCTAGCCCAATCACGGCAGCACTCGATGTATTAGCAAAGTAGGGGTGTCCGGATGCTAGCTCGCCCCTGAAGATTGACATTCGTCGTGCGATCGATCTCTGGGTCTTGTACCCCCAGATGTGGCTCTTGAGGTCAATGTCATTCTCGTCAAGCAGCCAGCCAGACTCGAAATCGTAGGCATCGTCGACAACGGGGCCGGTGATGTGGATGTGACCCCTTGCATACGGATAAGTGACCCAAGGTGCGGTGGTAACGTACTCGGCGTCGTCGGGGAGGGCATCAGGGTCGCCAAAGTAGGCATTGAAGAGCCCCATGATCATGAGAGGACGGTTCGGCGAATCTTTAAAGTCCTTATCCCAAGCAGCTTGAAACTCTGGCCCAATGGCTGAAACGTCCGCAGGCGATGGCCTGAGCTTGCTGGAGGCGTCATGGCCGTTCCATCCCAATTGCTTGTCGTCCGATGCAATCATGGCCTCCACGTCTCTCCCCCGGTCATTCCGTACCATGCCGTTTATAGTCTCGTTTGGCCCGAGATTTGTGCGGTAGACATAGCCTACAAAGTGATGGTCTATCGAAAAGTCTGTAAGCAAGGTTCATATTGTTCATCATGAGAGACTTGTCCTGCCTTGAAAATCGTTGCCTACCCCAAGAAGACTCTCGACAACAGGCACTCCCGCTTTTTCAAGCACCTCGGGATCTCCAACCCCGGACCTCTCAAGAAGAAGCGGCGTGCCGAATGAGCCGGCTGACGCAATAACAAGCTTCCTGGCCTTGACAGTCTTGGTACTGTTGTCGCGACCACTCTGGGCGAAATTTGGGTTCGCACGCATCTCTATTCCGACAGCGCGCTTTTTTTCTCCCTCAAAAAGGACTCGAAGGACCTGAGTCTCAACCAGCACATGCAGGTTCGGATACTCGCCGCTCTGCAAGAGCGGGTATAGGTAGCGGTGTGCCACATCCTGACGCCGGCCATCTTCGGGCGATACGTATCGGTACCACGGCCCTGAACCATTGTTAGAGTGCAGGCTTTGCAAATCTTCAATTTCGGCGAAACCAGCGTCAACGGCGCCGTCAATCCATCCTCTTTCGGCCCGGGGTGCTTCGTGTGTTCCTTTGGACACCTGAATTGGCCCATTGTAGCCATGCGTCGATTCGTTGTTCGTTGCTCCATGGTAGGTTTCCACCTTGGCTACCTGTTAGCTGGAAAAGCGCAACGGAAGAAGAGTCCTCACCTTTTGAATGAACGGCAAGAGGTCGTCCGCACTCCATCCTGGAGTGTTCCAGGAGTCAAAGTCATCCCACTGCCCTCTGGTGTATACCATCCAGTTGATGGCGGAGCCGCCGCCCAGTGTTCCCCCAGTCTCGACTACTGGCTCTCGATTGGCAAGCTGAGGGGACTTTTTGGCTTTCCAGAAGAGGGCCGTCTTGGAGTCTGGTAAGGTATTTCTCTCAAACAGCGCGGGATAGATGACGTTAGTCACGTTGTAACTGTCCTGACCCTGCTCGACGACAAGAATCGAAAGGCTTGGGTCGGTTTCGGCCAGCCTCGAGGCAACAATGCTCCCAGATGTGCCGCCTGTTGTGGGAATGAGTTCGGATGTTGAGCGACAGATGTCATCAAGACTTACCTCCGGCGATTATGACGTCTACTTCAGTCAGAGCGTTAGGAAGCTCCGTGATGACCCCCTTAGAAACGGTTGCCATTGTCAAGACACCCGTTAAGGCGCTCATAAGCTTCATCAAGCCCATGCTGAAAGTTGAAACCGAAAATCAGCGTCAAACAGAAATCAACTGTTGAACACAAAGAGGGATTCTCTCACTGGCAGAGGCGTTGTATTTAGAGTCATGGCAAACTTAACAAGGCCTGTTAGTCTGCCTGAACCCCGCTACTGAGAGCAGAAAACTGGATAGCAGGCACTTTGGCTGGAGAACGGATTCAGCATCATGACGGAACGCATAGGCGGGGGCTGCATCCACCGTTGCATGGGGCGTCTTGGCCCCTTGGCAATCTCTGTGGAGTACGTTTACAAATCGGGTTCATCGCTTGCATTTTGCAGCAAGAGAGTGTGCAGCTTGTTAGCTCACGTTGATCGTCGGTCAGCGTAACAACGTATCCCCGTTATGGACTAAAGAGCCACCCAGTTCAGTCCAAGCGAACAAATGGTAGTAGTGAGGGCATGGGTTGCGTTCCTTCAAGCTGTTTCGCAGAAATAGGTTTACCGATTCCTCCAGTAGAAATACGGAAAGAAGTCCAGGGCATCTATCTGCCTTGTATAAGTCTGTACAGTGTTATCACTAATGCAGTCCCAGGTCAACATTTTGGATAAAACGTAGCATTCAGAGAGTTTATCGTCCAGGTACCCGACTAAGTTACACTTTCTTATCGCTCATAACTCAAATACCCTGCGTATGCACTACCCTTACATCTGCACCACTAGCACTACCACTTTCTTCCTACTTTTACTACCTATATTACTAGGCCTATAGGTAAATAACTTATATATAGCATAATATAAAGTAAAAAGATTTTTTTAGAACTTTTTTTAGCTTACTAAGCTTTTTATATAAGTAATAAATAAAGTTAATTCTTAAAATAAAAGTATTTATGTTATAGGACAAGTGCCTTATATAGTAGATAGACAGGTAGGACATAGGATTACCCTGTTAGTATATGTCTAGGTATATGCCTAGGGGTATATATCCTATTACCTATTTCCTCTTATAAAGAAGAGTAACCTTAATAGATAACTTACACTAATACCTAGCTCTTGTCTTATATTATTTATTTAGCTCTTTATTATTATTTACCTTATTTTACTACTTTATATTATATTTTACTTTATACTATATTACTTTATATTACCTATTATAGTCTTACTCCTCTTATTAAATCTATAATAGCTAGTAGAAAGGCTATATTAAGTAGTAGTATAACTATCTTAATCTATACCTTTAAATTTTTTTTTACTAAGATATAGTAAAGATACTTTTCTACTTTAATAAGAATTAGCTTATAAAAATAGTATACTAAGGCTAGTATAGCTAGGCTAAATTACTAATATATAGTGTATATATATATAGCTTTAGTAAAATCTAAATTATAAAGTTACTATTCTCTACTATAAGCCTTTATAATAATATATATACCCTTATATTTATAGAATTTAATAGTAATAGACTATTCTATAGGATAATAAACTAGTAAAAAAGGTTTAAACTAGATAGTAGTAATATAGTTAATCTATATTAGATAAGATTAAATATCTAGATAGTAAAAAGAATTATTAAGAATATAAGAGAGTATCTAGACCTATATATATAGCTTTATATAGAAGCTATAGATATCTTACTATTTATACTAACTTATAAACCTCTTAGTTATTAAGAAACCTAGTTATACTAGAAAAATATATAACTAAGTAGTACTAAATACCCCTAAAAAATCCTCTTAATAAACTAACTTAAATAAAGATATTATAATAAGTAAGGCCTTACCTAAAGTAAAAATATTTTACTAGATAGTATATTACTAAAGTAAATAAAAGGTATAGTAATATTATAGTAATTACTAAAAGGTAAAGACTAGAAATTATAGGCCTACTAGGCTTTATACTAGCCTACTAGTAGATTTACTAGAAAAGTAGACTACTAGTTTATCTTTAATAACACTTATACTTTATACTAGGTTAATTCTTAGCTAGTATAAGTAACTACCTATATAGCCTAGACCTACTAAGGTTTTAGCCTATATAGGCCTAGATAGTATAAGCCTTTTACTTATCTTATAAAGTATATTAATAACCTTTACTATTAAGTAAATAATATATATACTACCTATTACCTAAGGACTACTAGTAGTATACTTATTCCCTAGGGAACTACCTAGGTAGACTACTAAGTACTACTTACCTCTTATATACTTAACACTATTAGACTTAATAGTTAGTAGGCTTAAGCTTATAAGACTACTACCTCTAAGTTAACTAGTAATTAACCTTATATAGTAAAGATAAGCGCTAGCCTTAATAATACCTTTACTATAGGCCTAATACTACTAATAGATATAAATAAGTTTATAGTAGCCTTCTTTTATACTATAGTAGCCTAGATATAGTAGGCTAAGACCTTA